CCGGAAATTTTCTCATAACCTGCATTTAGGACTGGAGCTTTCGCGTTTGGAGAATCGTTCTTGCGAGCGCGGCTCAGACCTTAATGCTTCTATTTAGTACCCTATTTACATGAACGCTTCCTGCAATCGGCACTTACCAGAAGTTGGCATTGGAAAATTTGGAAGAAATCCAGAAATCTGGCCAAAAGTATCACCAGAAATATCAGAACAAGCCTGCTCGACTGCAACTGCTATCTGTCCCTTTGGTTCGCAGGAAACAGTTTCTTCAAGATTTCTACATGAATGGAAAAACTTGTTCAAATCATCCTGAAAACAATATTCCAAATGTACCAAGGAATTCGAAAGCATCGACTAAAATGATAGCACATGCTATGACCGATGATACGGCATTACGCCTTTAATCAGAAAAGCAACGGAAACAATAAATATCCATTTGTATGATAACCCACAGATGTTTGTAAAAAAAGTCAAAGTCAAAGATTGGACAGTTTCGCTTCTGGAGCATTTTTTAATACTAGACGGACATTTTCAGGACACAATGCTTCCATTTTGCAAAGAAACATTTCAAGATGCTGAATCAAACATATCATAAGCGCAGATTTGGAAGCATTGTTGTTTGATATGAGTTCAATTTTAATATTGAGGCGTAGATGCCACAGATTCAAGTTTTGACATGGTGTTTCTTATGCGATCGTCCCGCTTCAACTCGCTTTTCCGTCCTGTCTTATTCAACGTTTTTTTCCATCAGCTTTCTGTTACACAAAAGTTTGGTTCCTATCCGTACTTGAATGCGTTTTCAGCAATGATCATGTTTACGTGCCGAGGGCTCTACTGTAAATAGATACCAGTAGTGTAAGAAATTGTTATTCTCTGAGAGCAGTGCCAGACTTCTGGACAAAGTAACACACAACAATGCTTGGCGGTCATAGCTGACGTTATTCACTCTCTTTCCTGCAGTGCTTGTGCTAACGCATTGGGAAGCTTATCCGATGTTTCAACACGTGAAAACATTCACTGGAAATTCAGACAGTGCGGTACCAAGATTGCAAGTCCAATGCAGAGATATTGGAGGTCTAGAAGCTCTTTCATTTCACCTAGAAACTGACGAAGCCTCTATTCATCTCTTGACCAGAAGTGAGATATTTTATCATTAAATATGCTTGACTGCATTGGGCTCCAACAAATCATTTTCTACCAGTGCCTTGGAGCGCATTGGTAGAAAATTTAGGTTTAAAACTGTACTCCTACAATCCAAGAAAATCAAGAATTTTGTAACCCTGAGCAGCGATTGATTGGAGCGACTTTCTAGGCTGATGTCCAAAACTTCCGCTACGGTAGAGAAATGGCCTCCAGTTCGCGATGATTTGAAAACTGGAAATTTTCCATTATAAGTGGACTGGCCACCGCTGGAGAGACAGTTATGCTGTGTGTGCTGTACGGTATGTTGTGTGCAGCTGCTTCATAAATCACTGTCATGTCCCGTTTCTTGAGACATCGAGCACACAAATACACCGACGCAGATGCTCATTGGAGCCAGAAGTCGTCGCCACTACGCAAGAATTAAATTGTCTGAAAGAGGCTTCATACTATCCAGTTACTTCGGAAAAGCTTCCATTGATGAGGACTACAGTACTTTTGTCGTGTCATCAAAATGAATCTCAACTGTATCAAAAATCTTTCATAAATTTTTGGATAACAAAGAAGAGATTTATTGATTTACATCATTAAATCAGTTCTAACATGTATAGGTAGACTCAGCTTCCAAGATACATGGAAAATGCATATATCGTCGTTGATTAACACTGCATTTGTGATTATGTTTATGTTGTCATATGTTATTATGATTATGCTGTCAATATGACCTTTAAAAACGAAAATCATACCCTGGAATAACAGGGTACAAGAATTGGGATGAAAACGTTTCGCCGATGAAGGACTCGTTCAAACGTTATCCACATATCGGAAAGAAGATATGCGCTTCAAGCATTCACTCTTCCTCATCTGCCTAGTTCCTCATCAAACTCCTTTCTTAATGCAGCCACAAATGTTTGAAACCATCCTTAAACAAGTTTTGAACGTTGAACATTGATCCTAACGCAGCGAGCAATCAGGCAATAAATTCATTAATGCTGTATGTTCAAACTTCTGCATATAAAGTGAGAACTTAGAAAGAAGTTGCATGTTTAGCAATTACACCACAGTAAACTTTAACTTGAAACTATTGCTACAAAGTTTAACCACGTGATAGAAATTGGGAGTAACTTCCGGAAGATCCTGATCTGATAATATCATTTAGGAATCTTAATATAATTCATGCCATGATTATCAATAATGATCAGAACATACAGATCAGAATTATATGTCATTGTTCGCACGCTTCGCATAGTGCATCACAACTCTTAATGAGATCAGGTTTCTTTTGCAATGTTCAAGATGCTCATGCTTATGATTACAAGCAAAAGTAGAATTTATGAAATTAAAACAGGTAGGTTGAAACATTCAAAAAATTTTCCAGCAGAAGAACAAGCTGCTTATTCACTTCTTGCACAAATGATGTCTTTAGCCGTGAAAGATTTTTAGACTTCACTCCGAATTCCGAATACCTTGAAAGTAGCTGTTACTTGGGTGATGCAAAAGAACACAACAACTGAATCACGGTAAAAATGCAATTTGCAATTTAGAAACCAAAGGTTTCTAAACACTGAGTAGTGTGAGGTGGGTCCTAAATGTACAACAGTGACAAAGAGGAAAGGGCAAGAGCGAAATTATTAAAGCCAGGAAGAATAGCCATTAAAAATATTAACGGGCTTCTTTGATATCATAGAACTATTTATACCTCGTTCTTATTTAAAGTCCAGATTTTACTGTAGATATAGTAATGATTTTCTCAATGTTCATGATGCCTATCACTTTCCTGAATAGTTCTGACCAAATGACTAAGATAACGTTCCATTTTCAACAAAAAAAATACGAATTCTTAAAGTTTTAATTTTCCAAGTAAAATTTCAGTTTAGCGCTTACGAAAATTGCAGAATTCTAGCAAATAACGCACTCCGTATTATCTTTTCTAATGTAATTGGTTGCATGAGACAGTAAGTCTAACAGTTCAAGCATAGTCTATTGAACTCCTTAACCTAACTACAGTGATCCGCTTTTTAAGCAGGATGTTCCACACAAACGGATATCCTTCTGATACATTTTGCTCCAACTTTTCTCCCCACACATATTCCTAACCAAACAACGGAGCAACGATCATCTTTATTCCCCATCCCCCTTCAATCGTTGTATTTTCTTATCCTATAATTTTGCCTTCAGAAACAAGGCTTCGAAAGTTTTCACAAAATTCGGAATCCGCTTGGTTGCATTTGGAAAAGTAGTTGAATCTGTTGGCTAACTCATGCAATCGCTATCTCTGATAGGCTTTAAATTGGAAAAACATAATCCTCAAAATGAGGAATATGGAACACGAAGATGCGATTAGAAGGAGCCAGTATTCACAATTTCAAAGGTGAAATAATCGCAGCTCTTGACAGCAAAAAGATAAGCTAGGACTCTTTATTAAAACATTCATGCATATTTCACTCTTTGAACGATGGATATGCAACAGCACCTGTGTTCGGCGGAAACATGTTCAGTCTGGAAGCCTCTAATGTGATTCCAGTTCTCCTTCAATTTCCTACCTTTTCCCCAAATACTTTTCTTTTCCTCCTTGCTTACCTTCCACTCCCATCTTTACCACGCGCTATGTAGAAATCTTTTTGCAGGTGTGTATCATATTATTTTAACCATAATTTATTTGTTCAAAGATTTTACATTAAATAATATCATTTCTCTTCCGGAAGCCCGATTTAACTTCAAAAATCTATCACGCCTAAAGTTGTTCTTTAGTAGGGAATAAACAAGATTCATCTTGTTATCACTTATAGTAACGAACTTCATAAAATATATGAAATGCACACGTCATTGTATTTCTCTGAAGCAGTTTTA